GCCCATACTATTATAATATGGGACAGTAGGCTTACTGCAGTGCTTTTGCTTGAAATGTCACAGTAGTTGCACGTGTGTTGTTTTATCTAACCCTGGATTTCGTCCACCTACCACCAACAGCTTGGTTGATGGATGGCCTAGTTTGGGACCAAGCCGAGGGGGCATGACCCCCGAAACAGCCTGCAGGTACACTCCACGTAAACCAATCTATGTAACCTTTGTTTTGCGTCATAAAATGTACATTAATCTGACTTAATTAACGGCAGGGGGAGAGGACCTAGTAGCAACCAGCGAAGAGGCCAGCCAGATACTGTGAATCGACCCTTGTAACCACATATAGGTAAGAACACACACACACAAATAATGTTATAGCTGAAACAATCCCCGGAGGTAGCGCAGATGAAAGGTCACACACACATGAGCTACTAAGTCTCTGCGAAAAACACACCTTAAGCCAGCAGATAGTGGAGCCAACAAGACTAGAAAACACACTTGACCTTATCTTCACAAATAATGAGGACCTGATAAGAGACATAAGAATATCAAAAACAACTAATTCCGATCACAACCTAATCGAAGTCCAGACGTACATGCATAGGGGTCCTCAACAGCAGAATGCATGTACCTGTGAAGGTGTCTTCACAAAATACAATTTCAACAACAAGAACATCAACTGGGACCAGGTAAACCATGCCCTGAACGAAACATGTTGGGAAGATGTCTTAAATGACATGGATCCAAACCAGTGCCTTGAAAGGATCAACTTCCTGGTAGCCGAAGTATGTTCTAGGCATATTCCCCTAAGAAAGAAGAGCAGGAGTAAACTGGAGAGAAAAAGACGCTCCCTCTACAGAAGACGACGAAGAGTCACTACTGAGCTCCTCAGGAGTGCTAGAATATCTGATACACGAAAGGAGGCGCTGACCAGGGAAGTGGAAACTATCGAACTTAAGTTAAATGACTCTTACAGGAACCAGGAGAGGCAGGAGGAGCTTGAAGCTATTAGTGAAATTGAAAGAAATTCAAAATATTTCTTTTCATATGCCAAAAACAAGGCAAATACCACATCTAGTATCGGGCCCTTACTCAGACAGGATGGGACTTACACAGATGAGAACAAGGATATGAGTGAAATATTGAAATCCCAGTACGACTCTGTGTTTAGTGACCCACTAATCGGTCTGAGGATCGACGACCCAAATGATTTCTTCATGAATGAGCCTCAAAACTCCATAAATGTATGCCAGATTTCCGACATTACCCTAACTCCGATAGATTTCGAAAAAGACATTGACAACATGCCTATGCACTCAGCCCTGGGCCCAGACTCGTGGAACTCTGTTTTCATTATGAACTGCAAGAAACCCCTCTCGCGTGCCCTAAGTACACTATGGAGGAGGAGCTTGGACATGGGTGAAATTCCACAGTCACTTAAAACAACGGATATAGCCCCACTCCATAAAGGTGGCAGCAAAGCATTAGCTAAGAACTATAGACCAATAGCTCTGACGTCCCACATCATAAAAATCTTTGAAAGAGTGCTAAGAAGCAGGATTGCAAATCACCTGGATTCCCAAAATCTGCACAATCCAGGGCAACATGGGTTCAGGGCAGGTCGCTCCTGCCTCTCACAACTACTGGATCACTATGACATGGCCTTGGATGCACTGGAAGAAAATCAGAATGCAGATGTAATATACACAGACCTTGCAAAAGCATTTGACAAATGCGATCATGGTGTAATAGCCCATAAAATACGTGCTAAAGGAATAACTGGGAAAGTGGGGAGATGGATCTTCAACTTCCTAACAAATCGAACACAAAGAGTAGTGGTCAACAGAGTTAAATCGGAGGCTGCCATAGTGAAGAGCTCTGTTCCACAAGGCACAGTACTCGCCCCATCTTATTCCTTATCCTCATATCAGACATAGACAGAGCTATACATCACAGCACCGTATCATCCTTTGCGGATGATACTAGGATCTGCATGAGGCTGTCATCTGCTGAGGACGCGGTTAACCTCCAAGAAGATATAAACAAAGTTTTCCAGTGGGCAACGGTAAACAATATGATGTTCAATGAGGACAAATTCCAACTACTCCGTTATGGAAAACTGGAGGAGATAATAACTAGAACAGAGTATACTACTGACTCCGGCCATACAATAGAGTGGAAAAATAATGTAAGGGACCTGGGAGTAGTAATGTCTGAGGATCTCACTTTCAAGGATCACAACAGTGCCACGATCGCATGTGCAAAGAAAATGATAGGATGGATAATGAGAACTTTCAAAACGAGAGATGCCAAGCCAATGATGATCCTTTTCAAATCACTTGTTCTCTCTAGGCTGGAATACTGCTGTACATTAACATCTCCATTCAAAGCAGGTGAAATCGCAGATCTAGAGAGTGTACAGAGATCCTTTACTGCACGTATAAGTTCTGTCAAGCACCTTAACTACTGGGAACGCTTGGAAGCACTTGACTTGTACTCGTTGGAACGCAGGAGGGAGAGATATATCATAATCTACACTTGGAAAATCTTGGAAGGAATGGTCCCAAATCTGCACACAGAAATCACTCCCTACGAAAGTAAAAGACTGGGCAGGCGATGCAAAATGCCCCCAATAAAAGGTAGGGGCGCCATTGTTACACTAAGGGAAAACACCATAAGTGTCCGGGGCCCAAAACTGTTCAACATCCTCCCATCAAGCATTAGGGGAATTGCCAATAAGCCTCTGGCTGCCTTCAAGAGAGAGCTGGACAGATACCTAAAGTCAGTGCCGGATCAGCCGGGCTGTGGCTCGTACGTTGGACTGCGTGCGGCCAGCAGCAACAGCCTAGTTGATCAGGCCCTGATCCATCGGGAGGCCTGGTCATGGACCGGGCCGCGGGGGCGTTGATCCCCGGAATAATCTCCAGGTAACACACACACACACACACACACACACACACACACACACACACACACACACACACACACACACACACATACACACACACACTAAACTCCTTGACTGTCACAGCCGGCGCTATGGTTCCCCATCTCGCTAAGTACACAAACAGCACTGCTAAGAGAGGCGATCGTCCGTTCTGGCTTTTCCTTCCTGACAAAGGCCTCGGAGGAATCACTGAAGGTGGCGGTACCTCCAACGGGGTACCTCCAAGGGGTATGTCCCTTGATACCCTTCATACCTGGGTACTTTGGGTTGCCACTGTGTTTGGTCAGGGGGGATGCCATGCCCAAACCTTCTGTTCACGCCCTCAAAGGCCAGACAGATTTCCATTCCTAATTTCCTGTACGTATTTTGGAGCTTAAAGCCTTTATATAACCTGCTGGGAGGGGAAAGTGTGGTTACAGTTTGGTAGTGGTGGTGGTAGGGGTGATTGTGGCGGTGGTAGGGGTGATAGTGGTGGTGGCTGGGGTGATTGTGGCGGTGGTAGGGGTGGCTGTGGTGGTGACAGCGATGACTGTGGTAGTGGTAGTGATGATTGTGGTTGTGATAGACACTTCAGTGTAGTAGCACACAAGATTTAGGTCTATGTAGGTACAATTCTCCACAATTCTGGGTGGTTATTTTGTACTGGGCTCCTTGAGTGTGGGTTCTAAGGGAGAGTGAGCGTGGGTAGGCCGCCCCATGAACGAGGGACTGAAGCAGATTACCCATGATTCTGTCCACTTTTCGGGAAAGACTCCCTTCCGATATCCCACCAGCTACTACTACTGCTACTACTACTATTATCACACACAGAATAACAGTTCTTGTAAAAACAACTAATTTTACGATAGGATCAGATTAGGTCTACCTTACCTACCTATATCTGGAGTCCAGGGGGTCAACGCCCCCACGACCCGGCCCTAGACCAGGCCTCAGGGGTTCGGGGTGCTGACTCCCGGAACGACCTCCAGGTAGAACTGGTCTGGGACCAGGTAGCGGGGATATTGACCTGGAATCATTCTTCAGGTAGATTGTAAGTATTGTTGTACACATTCACTCTCGCAAATTAACTTATTTCTCAGCTTCTAAATCTGTTGCAATGTTCTTCTAAATCTATATTATCTATTGTCTATAACCTGTTGTATATATATATATATATATATATATATATATATATATATATATATATATATATATATATATATATATATATATATATATATATATATACATGTTATTCTTAACCTGTCATTTGTTACAGTTTATTTTCTTGTGCTGATATTCCTGCCTTGGCAGGATCAAACCTCATTTTCTCCCATTCCGCAGAAGCTGTATGACCCATATGGGTTTAGAGTTTCCTATGATTATAATGAAAATTAATAATAATAATAATAATAATAATAATAATAATAATAATAATAATAATAAGGCTTAAATCTAAGTGAGTTTGGATTTATGATATATGGAATATTATACATTCACACAGGGAGAGGGAAAGGTTACTGGAGAGTGGGATGGAAGGACGTAGGGAGGGAGGGAGAGGATGGAGGGAGGAGAGGATGGGATGGAAGGACGTAGGGAGGGAGGGGAGGATGGGATGGAAGGATGGCCACCTGAGGGAGGTAGGGCCCAATGAAGGGAGAGAGGGTAACTCACAGGAAGGAATGAAGTAAGTCAGACAGGAAGACAGGGAGGGAGGGAGGAAGGGAGGAAGGAAGGAAGGAAGGAAGGAAGGAAGGAAGGAAAGAAGGAAGGAAGGAAGGAAGGAAGGAAGGCAGGCAGGCAGGCAGGCAGGCAGGGAAGTAGTGAGGAGGCAGCAATAAAAGAAGACAGAAAAGAAGGCAGGCAGGCAGGGAGGCAGAAGGAAGGCAGCAAGACAGATAGGGAGGCAGTAAGGAAGGCAGGCAGGCAGGCAGGCAGAGGGGGAGGGAGGCAGAAGGAAGGCAGGCAGGGATGTAGTGAGGGAGGCAGCAAGACACACAGGGAGGCGGTAAGGAAGGAAGGCAGGGAGGGAGGAAGGCAGGCAGGCAGGGTACTGAAATCCAAGGTGTTGGTCACGTACCTAAGAAGTCAGCTTGCCCTCGCACTAGTGTTGGCAGCTCAGACCCACCTGTACCAGAGAGAAACACTAAGTATGAGATTAATCAGTCCAACACTGACTCATTACTTATTTATCACCCTCATAATACTCAGCCTCATCTACCTGCACTTCCTACTCATTTCTGCAACATTGCAAGCTCCTGAAGATGTGTCGATTGCAACACGAAAGGCCTAGAGCTATCATTCAACTCTCCCTGTGGTTGTTTTGCACGCACACACACACACACACACACACACACACACACACACACACACACACACACACACACACACACACACACACGCGCGCGCACGCACACATGTCGTGCCGAACAGGTAAAACTTGCTATTTTGGCTTAAATAGCAACGCTCTTCTTGCCGAATAAGACAAGCGAAAATTTGTATGTAATAATTTCGCAAAAATCATTCTGAACCTAACGAAAAAAAATATATTTCATTGTTTATTATTAAATTATTGTAAACTTATCTAAAATATATTTAGTTGGATTAGGCTAAATTAAATTGCGCTTGTTATAATAAGGTCAGGTAAGTTTTCTAAGGTTCTTTTGGTACAAAATTATTAATTTTTACATCAACATAAATGAAAAAAAAATCTTTAAACGTATAAGAGAAAATTTTAGAAAGGATTTAATTTTAAATGAGTTCTTGCTAATTGACCAATTTTACCTATTCGGCACGACACACACACACACACACACACACATATAGTGCAATGTTGCACTCACTGGTTAAATTAATATCGCACCGCCCCCCCCTCAACCCACGAGGGCTCTGAGCTCCCTACAATTGCCACAATCTGCCACAATCGGCTCAGTGGCTGGAACAAACACACCACTCGCCAAAGGGGGGTGGGGAGGGGGGGAGGGGGGAGGGAAGGGTAGACACAAACACAGACCAACAAAGCACATCCCACTACCAGGGAGGGAGGGGGGGGTTAAATCGGTTCGGGGGAGGGGTGGGAAATGGGGGAGGAGGGAGGTGGGGGGGGGAAGGAAGGGATGGCTTTTAACCCCTTCGCAAAAAAAAGAAAATAAAAAATAGCGATCATTTCTGTTGAACTCCCTTCTTCCCCTCCCTCTTCCCCCTCCCTACTAACGGACCCTTCAAGGAGCGGAGTGCTTAATGTTGAGGGGCTTTTGATGCGAGGAGCTGAAGCTACAATCTCCTTCCTCAGATCAAACCTGATTACCACCTATATGATCCCTTTCGGGTTTAGCGTTTCCAAATCAACAGTGAAATTTGGAGGTGCTGATGAGGTTTAGAGTGAGGGGGTGAGGTTTAGTGAGAGGGGGTGAGGTTTAGTGAGTGAGGGGGTGAGGTTTAGTGAGAGGGGGTGAGGTTTAGTGAGAGGGGGTGAGGTTTAGAGAGAGGGGGTGATGTTTAGTGAGAGGGGGTGAGGTTTAGAGAGAGGGGGTGAGGTTTAGTGAGAGGGGGTGAGGTTTAGTGAGGGGGTGAGGTTTAGTGAGATGGGGGTGAGGTTTAGAGAGAGGGGGTGAGGTTTAGTGAGAGGGGGTGAGGTTTAGTGAGAGGGGGTGAGGTTTAGAGTGAGTGGGTGAGGTTTAGAGAGAGGGGGTGAGGTTTAGTGAGAGGGGGTGAGGTTTAGTGAGAGGGGGTGAGGTTTAGTGGAGGGGGGGGGAGGTTTAGTGAGAGGGGGTGAGGTTTAGAGAGAGGGGGTGAGGTTTAGTGAGAGGGGGGTGAGGTTTAGAGAGAGGGGGTGAGGTTTTAGTGAGAGGGGGTGAGGTTTAGTGAGGGGGTGAGGTTTAGTGAGAGGGGGTGAGGTTTAGAGAGGGGGTGAGGTTTAGTGAAGGGGGTGAGGTTTAGTGAGAGGGGGTGAGGTTTAGTGAGAGGGGGTGAGGTTTAGAGAGAGGGGGTGAGGTTTAGAGTGAGTGGGTGAGGTTTAGAGTGAGGGGGTGATGTTTAGTGAGAGGGGGTGAGGTTTAGTGAGAGGGGGTGAGGTTTAGAGAGAGGGGGTGAGGTTTAGTGAGAGGGAGTGAGGTTTAGTGAGAGGGGGTGAGGTTTAGTGAGAGGGGGTGAGGTTTAAGTGAGAGGGGTGAGGTTTAGAGAGAGGGGGTGAGGTTTAGTGAGAAGGGGGTGAGTTTATAGAGAGGGGGTGAGGTTTAGAGTGAGGGGGTGAGGTTTAGAGAGAGGGGGTGAGGTTTAGAGAGAGAGGGTGAGGTTTAGAGAGAGGGGGTGAGGTTTAGAGTGAGGGGGTGATGTTTAGTGAGGGGGGTAGAGGTTGAGGGGGTGAGGTTTAGTGAGAGGGGGTGAGGTTTAGAGAGAGGGGTGAGGTTAGGAGAAGGGGTGAGGTTTAGAGAGGGGGGTGAGGTTTATAGAGAGAGGGGTGAGGTTTGAGTGAGGGGGGTGAGGTTTTAGAGAGGGGGTTGGAGGAGAGGAGGGGGGTAAGGTTTTATGGAGAGGGGAGTGAGGTTTACAGTGAGGGGAGGGGGGAGAGAGAGAGGGAGAGAGAGAGAGAGAGAGAGAGAGAGAGAGAGAGAGAGAAGAGAGAGAGAGAGAGAGAGAGAGAGAGAGAGAGAGGAGAGAGAGAGAGGTAAGAGAGAGGGGAAGGTGCAGGTGAGGGGATGAGTATATGGAACAAAAGGTGTGAGGGGAACTGAGGTTGTAGACGGCGATGGTGATTATATACGAGGGGAAAGAGAATGTAGTAGAGGAGGGGTGTGAGGGGAGGGAGGGTGTAGATGAGGGGTAAAAAAGAATTTAGGTGAGGGAAGGAAGGGTTTAGGTGATGGTGAGAAAGGGGGTGTAGATGAGGGTACAAGTGTAAACGAGGGTACAGAATAGGGGAACTTCAGAGGGGTGCAAATAAGGGGAGTGAAGAACATCTCAAATTAGGGGGGAGTGAGGAAGAGGAGGGGAGGGGGAAGCTCAGAAAAGAGGGGAGGGATATAGGTGATTAAGAGGGGAATGCAGGAGAACCCAGGCTGGCGGTACTAATTACCTTGAGTGCTATACCTCTAATCGCTGTCGAGAATGGGTCTACCCTCGAAAACCGGTCCTGGTGCTAGCCCGGTCAACCAGGCTGTTGCTGCTGGTGGTTTGCTGCCCCACATATCCATCACAGGGTAATGGAGGGTATACCGGAGATCAACGCCCCCGCGGAACGGTGTAGATCAGGGCCCGATCAACCAACGTACGACAGCCCGACTAAACCTGCACTGACTTTAGGAATCGGTCCAGCTCCCTCTTCAAGACAACAAGGGGCCTATTGGTAATTCCTCCTATGACTGGTGGGAGGCTGTTGAAGTCTTGGCCCCGGACACTTACGGTGTTTTCTCTTAGTGTACCAGTGACTTAGTGTACTTTTCACTGGGGGTATGTTGCATCACCTGCCAAATCTTTTGCTTTCGTAGGGAGTGATTTCTGTGTGCATTTTAGGGACCAGTCCCTCCAGGATCTTCCAGGTGTAGATTATGATGCATCTCTCTCGTCTGCGCTCCAGTGAGTACAAGTCAAGTGTTTCCAGGTGTTCCCAGTAGTTAAGATGTTTGATGGAACTTATATCTGCAGTAAAGGTTCTCTGTACATTCTCTAGATCTGCAATTTCACCTGCCTTGAATGGAGATGTTAATGTACAGCAGTATTCCAGCCTAGAGAGAACAAGTGATTTAAAAAGGATCATCATTGGCTTGGCATCTCTTGTCTTGAATGTTCTCATTATCCATCCTATCAGTTTCCTCGCAGATGTGATAGTGGCGCTGTTGTGGTCCTTGAAGGTGAGGTCTTCGGACATTACCACTTCCAGGTCTCTCACATTACTTTTCCGCTCTATCGTGTAATTAGAGTTTGTAGTATACTCAGTTCTAGTTATTATTTCCTCCAGTTTTCCATAACGGAGTAGTTAGAATTTGTCTTCATTGAACATCATATTGTTCTCTGTTGCCCATTGGAAAACTTGGTTTATATCTTCTGGAGGTTAACAGTGTCCTCAATGGATGACATTCTCATGCAGATCCTAATATCGTCTGCAAAGGATTATACAGTACTATGGTTTACATCTCTGTCTATGTCTGATATGAAAATGAGGAACAGGGCGAGTACTGTGCCTTGTGGAACAGAGCTCTTCACTATGGCAGCTTCCGATTCAACTCTGTTCACCACTACGATTTGTGTGCGATTGGTTAGAAAGTTGAAGATCCATCTGTCTACTTTGCCAGTTATCCCTTTAGCACGCATTTTGTGTGCTATTACACCATGGTCGCACTTGTCAAAAGCTTTTGCAAAATCTGTGTATACTACATCTGCATTGTTTGTTTTCCAGTGCATCCAAGACCATATTATAGTGATCCAGTAGTTGCGGGAGGCAGCAGCGACCTGCTCTGAACCCATGTTGCCCTGGATTGTGCAATTTTTGGGAGTCCAGGTGATTTGCAATCCTTCTTCTTCGAACTCTTTCAAAGATTTTTATGATGTGGGACGTTAAAGCTGTTGGTATAGTCTATTATTGTTCTTAGCTACTGATTTGCTGCCACCTTTATGGAGTGGGGCTATATCCGTTGTTTTTAGTGACTGTGGAATCTCGCTTGTGTCTAAGCTCCTTCTCCATAGTATACTTAGGGCCCGTGAGAGGAGTTTCTTGCAATTCTTAATGAACACCGAGTTCCACAACTCTGGGCCTGGGGCTGAGTGCATGGGCATGTCGTCGATGTCTTTCTCAAAGTCTAGTGGAGTTAGAGTTATGTCAGAAATTTGGCCTACATTGGCAGGGTTTTGGACTGACTATCTTTAGATTGATTAGTGGCTCACTGAACATACAGTCATTGAGATTTCATATTCTCACTCATTTCTTTGTTGTTGGCTGTATAGGATCCGTCTTGTCTGAGTAAGGGCCCTACACTAGATGTGGTTTTTGCCTTGTTTTTGGCATATGAAAAGAAATATTTCGAATTTCTTTCAATTTCCCTAATTGCTTTTATCTCCTCTTGTCTCTCCTGGATCCTGTACAAGTCCTTTAACTTAAGTTCAATATTTTCCACTTCCCTGGTTAGCGCTTCCTTCCGTGTTTCTGATAAT